GAAGAAGAAGAAGAAGAAGAAGATGATGATGATGATGATGATGATATTAAATGATAAGAGGTGACAAATGTGGGCTTTGAGGGAAACCCATTACTACTACCGGAGATTAGGGAATCGCTATTCTTCGTTTTTGATGTGTGACAATTGGTGCTAGTATCGACGATACTGGTACGGCGAGCATATTTTTTCTCAAGTTCGCGATAAATTAAAAAGTCACCAAAAATGCGGGAAGGAGACCAAAGCCGACCATCGGTCCAGCGCTTGATGCCCGACTCTGTTTCATTGAAGACAAAAACACTTCCGCTTCGAATTTGCTTGCGCTCGTGATCATGAAGCCGTCTTCGCACACGGCCAAGACGGCCTTCTCTGCACAATTGGAAAATCCGGAGTGCATCTGCGCTGCTCTCAACCATCCCATAAAATGTTTCGATCTTTGAAAGAGAAATAAAATCACTCTTAAGCGCAGCATAGTTATGATTGCCATGGCCATGAGATTGCTGGTTCTGCAAATATGATTGTGCTCTTCCCATCGAACTGGCTGCTGAGTGAGGGGGAGAATCAATTCCAGGAATCATTAAAGTACCATCCAATGGTACCGATATTTTCAAAGCTATCCAGCAATGATGAATGGTGATGATGAGGATCAGCAGTTGGACCAGCCAGTATTCATTAATGCAATTAAGGTTTCCTTGGTATTGAGCCAATTATCATTGAGAGACAAACTCAATTTTGCAAAGATAAACAGTTTCCAAAAGTGCAGCCATTAAGCCCGGATGTACTTGAAAATATTTTCCAAATTTTAATCAACCTCTGATCAGGGAAAAATCGGAACAATGTGTGCAAATGCAAATAAATGAGGTGTGTTTATCGCATTGAAAATACGAAATATTTAAAACCGCCCCTCCGCACCTTGAATGCTCGCTATGTTGGCATCCATTTTTTCGCCAAAAAACACTCCAAGCTTTGAAAGCTTTGATCCAAAAAGCCTGATTCTTTCTACCGATAAACTCAAACTAATTTGCTCCGAATTGGTGTCCAAGTTTGAGAAGGAGCTTGAATTTTCCCCAAATTCGATGTTGCCCACATTTATCGACAGATTTCCACTAGGAAACGAAGAGGGTACATTTATGGCCATAGACATCGGAGGAACGAACATCAGACTTGATTTGATTGCACTTAAAAAGCACAAGGCACCGGCATTTATTGCTAATTGCACAAAACCCATTCCAGGCAGCTACAAGAAAGGAAGTGGTACGAAGTTATTTGAATTCATAGCGTTGGAAATAATTGGCTTTTTGGAGGGCAAGAAAATTGAGGTATGTATGTCCTTCATTAACTGTTGATCGTAGAAATCGCCAGTTCCCCTTGGATTTACATTTTCATTTCCTCTCAAGCAAACATCAATAAATTCGGGGCATATATTTCAATGGAACAAAGATTTTCATTGTGAAGATGCCTTGATGAAGGATCCCGTCTTGCTTTTGCAATGTGCTTTGGAAAAGCAAGGCTACCCAGATCTTGTCAAAGTTTCGGCTATCGTAAACGATACGATAGCAACGCTACTTTCTGGAATCTACATAAATTCTAATGCCAAAATCGGACTAATTCTTGGCACCGGAACCAATGCTTCCTATGTGGAAAAGACACAAAAAATTGCGTCAAAGATTGAAGGTTCCTTCAAATCCGAGTATACCCTTGTGAATACCGAATTTGGATCCACCGACATTAATTCAATGGATTTTATTTCATTTTTGTCTACAAAGTACGATCAGCTTGTCGATAAAAACTCCGCAAACCCTGGAAACCAAATACTTGAAAAAATGATTTCGGGCCGCTATCTTGGCGAAATTTTCAGCTATATTCTTGTGGAGAATGGATATTTGAAGGAAGGCGACCCTTTCTACACTGCAATTGATATGAATGCCATTGAAAGGTTTTTAATGGTCTTATAAACTCATATTCATAGCAAATATGACACCAAAGCAAAAGGAAGCCACAAAGACAGCATGTTCATGTGGGAGGTTTGTTCGGCCATCTCAAGCCGCTCTGCTCAATTGGCTGCATGTGTCATATGTGCATTGATAATTCTCTCCAACAACCAGTGTGAGGATATGACGGTGGTGGCGATTGATGGCTCAATCTTTGAGAATTACCACAAATACGCAGAAAGGCTCGAGCAGGCCATTTCCTCTATCATCGGTTCGTCAAAAGTCAAACTAATATTTTGCAAAGACGGTTCAGGTATTGGAGCCGCCATTGCAGCTTCACTTTATGCCTCGTAAAATTACAAAAAGAACACATGGTTGTCATTTTAATAACAAATTAAATAAGATCATTTATTTGGCTGCACAGCTTCATATATTCACAAACGGAATTAAACCGCGCCGAAATTTGCAAAGAATCGCCGATGATGGGGTCCCATTCCCAAAAGTAAATTTCAGAGACCATATCATCTATGGGATATATTTTGGAATTCCGACTTTCACAGATCGTTGCTATAGTTGGTAAGACATATGGGCACCAATACCTCCACACCCATCAGGTAGGGACAACTTAATTCCGGCCCAAGGTCGACCCCTGAACGCCACTTTCAGAGGCCACGATGTATATTCATTGGACGCATTCTTTTCAATGTGAAAGTAATTGGCATCCGAAAAATCAATATACGGCAAAATTGATTGAGGAATGCAAGGGATCGAATGGATACAACTAGAAGATGTTGGGGTCGAAACTTGCTCCATACAACAATTACTTGGACCACTCAAACGCGATAAATTGGACACAGTTTAATTATTTTTATTTTTCAACAATAGAGAACAACTCCCTGGCCATACTTAGTTGCCCTTGCTCTTGGGTAATTTTCCCCTCCATCGAGGCTATGTCTGACTCTGCACTTTCTTTATTAAGAAGATATAGGTATCTATATTGAAATTTGACGCGAAATACCTTTCTAGCGGATCCGCATCATGGTGTAGAGATTGGTTTTTTTTCTCCAACAACGAAGCGAGCGTCAATTCGTTTTCTTTGATAGAGGATTCTAATTCAACAATTAATTTCTGTAAGGACTCTTTGGTATGAACAGTGGCATCTTTCCTTGGTGTTTTCAATGTCCGGTCAAATTCTGTATCATCATCGGCATCATCATCATTTATATCGTCCTCTGGTTGATAGTAGTTATTTTCGGATGATTCGCCCGAATCGAGATCTGAACATGCACTTGAACATTCGGCCTCTTCTTCATGCGAGGTGAATTTTGAACAAATATATAATCGCGAAGATTTTCCAAACTGGATCATATCGCCGATGTGTAATTTAATGGGCTCGTCCTTTTTCAGCGGCTGCTTGTTTAGGAACGTTCCATTGACACTATTTAGGTCGACCACCATTATGCTACCATCGCTACTTCGCATTTGGAAGACAGCATGAAACCTCGATGCGCTCTAAACGGAAAGCATTTGAACACGTTACCGGATGTTCCAACCGCAAATCGCATAAAGGAGATCTACCGGCCAAAAAATATGATTTTTGATGGGCATCGAAATTTAAAATTAAAGGCTCCATTTGAACGCCCTCTCTTATCACTTCAAATATTGCCGTGGGCTGATGGCGGTCCCCTATAACGAATCCTCCCCATTGGGGTTCAATCCATGGTGCCTCCATAAAATAAATTTGTAAATTAAAATTCGATTTATTTTTATGCTCCGTTCTGAAAATGGATGATTCAACCCAACCGTATCATGCTTTTATTGGCGCACACAAAATGCTTGCGAAGGGCCCCAGTGATCGACAAAAAACTTTAACAGATGTTGCCGTTGCTCCCGACGAGGAGGAGATTCAATTGCGTCTAAAGTTTTTGTGGACAGCGGCGTTTAGCCTCTCTGCACAGTCTGCAACCGCGCAACTCTCCTCTTCAATGCTGGAGAAGCTTGTGCAGCTTGCTAGCGACTGTCAACTTAATCTTCCCATTTCTTTCTGGAGACGAGTTTGTCCCCATTGCCTTTCCTTTTATCATGTTTCAGGCTATACAATACCCGAGTGGAATGATGTCTCTGCGGATCGAACGATCGAAATGGATAGGATAATTGGAAAAGACGCGCCAAATAGCCTTTCCGCTGCTTTGTCAAGAAAAAAAGGTCCGTTTGTCATTTACATTTGCGACATTTGCGCCGGTGGAGCCAAATGGATGCTTCCTTTAAAATGATTGGAGCTCTCAGCACATCTGTGTGGCCTTCCCATAATGCCAATAAATTTGCATGAATGCAAAAAATTACTCTATGTGCACATTGCATGCAAAAATATACCATCCACAACATAAACAGTTGGCTTTACAGCCAGGGTCACGCGGCCTCGCTCGTTTGTTTGGGAAGAGCTTCTTATCCTCCATGTTGATAAATTTTAAATTTTACTGTTTTGTAATGATATTTTGATGAGATTCTTCTTTAGTTGACAACACCCTGTTCTTGATGATGGTTTTTCCAACCAAGGCCTTGCTCATATCGATATTTATTCTTACCATTATTGGAATTTCTCTGTTCTACGCAGGCGATATCAACAAACAGGGCAATTCCGTAAGGATAGCCCAAATTTTCCTTGCAATCGCCCTAACCATTGCGGCCGGTATTGTGTCTGGACTGACGCTTGGCTTGATGTCTCTGGACGAAACCAAGCTGAAAATTCTTCTCTCCTCGGGTACGCCCCAGGAACAGTCTTTCGCCGCAAGGATAATACCCATTAGGTCTGATCCGTATTTGCTGCTTTGCACCCTGCTTGCAGCCAATGCTGTCATTTCTGAGAGCCTTCCCATAGTAATTGATCGAATTTTGGGCGAAAGTTGGAAGGCAATTCTTTCTTCGACGTTAATTTTGCTGCTGTTTGGCGAGCTCATTCCACAGGCATACTTTTCAATGTATTGTTACGGTCCCATACTTTGATTTTGTGATTTATATTTCATTGTCGCAAAAATCCCTCTCATCCCTAGTTATGGCCTTGCAGCGGGTGCCAGGCTCTCCGGGCTTGTTCGTGTCATGACTTTTTTTTGGCGCCACTGGTGTATCCGCTTTCATTTGCTCTGAAGTGGCTTCTTGGGAAAGGCGCTCATCAAAGCTCCATACAGTTCAAAAGAGAAGAGCTGAAAGCACTTATGAGGCTACTTTTGAACACCCAATTGACGCACGATGAGGTCGATATCCTTACGGGAGTCCTGGACCTGATTGGTATTGGTTGTAGTTTTAGGATTAGAGAAAACCCCACGCGCTTTAATGACACCCCTGAACCAGGTGTTTATGCTGGACGCAGACACTATCATAACCCCCTCCCTTACTAAAATGGTACCATATTCGATATTTTGTGCATCTAGATTTCACAGAATGGATACTCAAGAATTCCTCTTTTTACTGATGGAGAAAAGAAAAATGTTGTCTCTATCCTTCTAACGAGAACATTACTCAGTTCAAACCCCGGAGTCACACTTGGGTCTCTTGCGATTCCCAAGCCCTCGCTGTTGTCAGTGTCGGCCAATTGTTCGCTTTTTGAACTTTTGCGGCTGTTCAGAGAGGGAAATTGTGGGCAAATTTCATTAATTGAATCCTAGATGGACACATGGCCCTTGTCATTGGTGAGGACAGTTGGGGAGGCGCGCATTCTCAGCAGGGCAGCAATGAAAATACCAGAAATAACGGAAACATCATTGGAATTATCACCATTGAGGATGTGATTGAAGAAATCATCAACCATGACATATATGACGAATCAGACCTGGGTATTTGCTAGTCATTTATTGTAAAGGGAATAAATCCAAATTTAAATTGTTTACGGAGCACATCCACATGTGTGGAGACCGCCGCGCTTTTGTTAAAATTATATTATATCGCAAATTGCATGTCGCCTGTCCGAATTCTGTCGCTCAATGCCTTTCTCCGCCCGCCCGGAATCAATACAAATGGATGCGATTATAAGGACTTGAGGGTAAGTATTCTTTTGAACGAAATCTTTCCAAAGTAACGATTCACTTTGACTTGGAATAGGTACGATGTCATTGTCCTTCAGGAAGTGTTTGCCTTTGGATCGTCTAGAAAATCCAAAATCGTTAAGGCTGCCAAGGCCATCGGGTTTACCTACTCTGCAACGACACCGGGCATTGGCCGGCTAATTTCCCCTGTTGACGCCGGCCTCTTGATTCTCAGCAAATTCGAAATAAGATCCTTTTTCTGGAAAATCTTGCCATTGGGATGGTATGCTGATAGGTAAGAAGCATAAAGTGACCATAAGATTAGCGTCAAAGTCTTTTTTGCATGCCGAAATTTTGCTTCCAGGTGAGAAGATCATCCATCTGATTACGACTCACCTTCAATCGACTCCACCCTCGTCAAAGGACTCGTCCAAATACAAAAAAATCCGAGATTCGCAATGTAAAGCCATCAGGGAATACATCTACGAGTTCATCATAAAGGATCCGGAAATCCACCACGATCCAATTTTGCTTGTTGGCGATTTGAACATCGACGGTCGAGCTTCGCACGATTCAGAATACAAGGAGATCTTCCAAAAGTACTTTAGCGAGTTTACCGATTTGCTTTTAAAGCCTTGCTCTCGAGAACCGCTTGAAGCTCAACTCTCAAACGTGAAAATTTGCGATAAAATGCTCCAAACGCCCG